CCGGGGCTGCCGCGGCCAGGGCCAGTCTGAGCAGAGCCCTGCGCCGGGGCACGGGCACCCGGCCAGCCCAGGCGGCAGCGACGAGCCACGGGGCAGGCTGCCAGCGCCTGCCTGGTTCTGAGGAACAGCGCAGGACCAGAGGGGATTTCCAGGGCCGAGAGCACCTAGCCCGGGCCTTGCTGCTGGCCACCCACCTCCAGGGAAGGCGGGCGGGCAGGTGCAGGCAGCGGCTTGTGGGCCCCAACCCCAGGGTGCCAGCGCCAGCAGGAGCAGAGGTCACCCCACCGGCGCCGGGCACTGACTCAGCCCCACGAGGCCAGCGCCGTGGGCGAGCGGGGGAAGCCACGGAGGTCCAGGGCTGCAGACAATGAGGCGACTGTTCCAGGATGGGCACCTCATGACCGCGGCACGGCCCTGCCGGGCTCCCCGGCTGGGACCCGCTTGGCAGGGAGAACACGACAGCGCACGTGCAAGAGGGGTGCGGAACCGAAATGGGGGGGAGCTCTGGGCTCCCCGCTGTCCTGCTCAAGCCCCAGCCGGAAACACAGGCGAGCCCCCTCCCTGCCAAGCATCCTTCCCGAGCCAGCCAAGGGCACTGCTAGCGGGACAGCGACGGAGACGGAAAAGGAAGTCACAGGGCTCTGAAGTCAACACTCGCACCCAAATACGCCAGAGCAGCCTGAGCCACACTCGGCCAAGGGCAACACGTCTCAATGTCAGACACTGCTAGAGCTGCAGCCTGTGCTCCAGCCTCACAGGACCACACGCTACCGGCCCTACGGGCCCCTACAACCTGCATGCGCCCTGCTGGGGCTGCCGCCCCACGGCTGGGGAGCGGGACCCCAGCCTGTGCCCCAAGGCACTGGCAGGCAGAGCTCTCCCCTGAGGCCACTGCTGCACATGGTGGACCAGGCACCCGCTGGAGTCCAGGGCACAGTCCCCATGCCGGCTGGGCCAGAGAGAGTCGACTTAGGCACAGAAAGGTCACTGGGTCCAGCACAGAGTCCCTGCCCCTGTGCAGGGGTCCCATCACACAGGACAGGGATGCTGCATCTCTTTGGAAAACCTGGCTTTATTAACACACCGAGGTCCTACCTGCACTCCCCAAGCCCACACCTCTCCCGCAGCATGGGCAGCCGGTCTCCTCACAAACGAGGCATTGCGCCGCACTCCCCCGGCAGAAACCCGGCCCCCCCGGACACAGCCTGCTGGGGCCAAGCAGGGACAGCCCACATACCCCAAAGCACTGGGGGCTGCTGGGAACCAGCAGCCCACAGAGGCAGGTGCTCACCACGGGCACCCCAGCCCAGATTGCCAGGCTCCCCAGCAGCTGTCCGGGGGAGAGGAGCTGCGGCGGGGGTGAGCCTCCGGTGACAACCCTGTTCAGCCCCAGCATGGGGGCATGGTGCACACAACTCCCAGTGCAGGGGCACCTGGCACCAGGAGGCTCAGGGGGAGGGTGGCAGGAGGGACCGGGCTGGCCCAGGAGCCACGGGTCACACCAGCCCTGGGGAGCACAAGGCTCCCGCAGCAGCACAGCTGGGAGAGGCACCTGGACAAGGACCCGTGTCAGGGCATCCTGCCCTTGCTGCAGCCTCCTGCCAGGCCTCCGCTTCTTTCTTGGGAGCCAAGCAAAGGTGGTCAATGTTCCTGGGGGGGTCCCAGGCCCCAGCCACGCTGCAGTGGCAACGTCCCTTCCTGAGCAGCAGGTAGCCACAAGGTCTGCCCCACTCCCAGTAGACAGCAAGAGGGAGGGAGGGCGGGCAGAGGGGCTCCTGGTTCTGGACTGCGCCTTGGCAAGGCAGCAGGCTGGCCACGCAGCCCTGCCAGCTGGCACGGGAGATGCCAGAGCAGACAGGCAGGAGCCGACAGCCCCACACTTCCCTCGGCGAGTCCTTCCCGGAGGTTTCTGTCCTGCCGCCCGATGTCTTCGTCGCATCCTAGGACAGTGTGTGCGTGCCCAGCAGCCCTGCTCCCGCAGCTGGCCACGTGCCCATGCCTATCTCCAGCGGGTCTGGTAAATGAGCGGGTAGAAGACATTCAGGAAGAGTGCCACGATTGCGGCCGTGGTGGCCAGGACAAAGTATCTGACGCAGCCTTCGTCTGGGTGCTGGGGAGTGCCCGGACTCTGCTTCTGGCCACGAGGCCTCCAGGAGTTTCTTGCAGGCCTTTGGGGTGCCTCGAGCTGCAGCTCTTGTTCTTCAGCCTCCAGTTCCTGCCAGATCAGAGAAGCCTGCGATGTGGAAACCTGCGTCAGCACTTGGAGAACACAACGGGCAACACCCCTCGCCATCCCCCGGGGCAGGCGGCTGCCTGCAAGCCCAGCCCCGTGCCCAGCCAGCCCGCCTCCCCATGCAGCACCATCGCGGTCGCGCCCGCCCCCGCGGCTCTTCGGGGTCTCCGGTGCATGGGGTGCAGCCGGGCTCCGGTGGGCGGCTCTGCGGGAGGGAGCGTGGGCAGCTGCCAGGCAGGGTCTTCGTGGGGCTGCAGGGAGTGGAGCGGGCAGGCGGATCCCGGTGGAGCCGATGCGCTGGCATTGGTGGGTCCAGGTGGTGAGGGGGCAGGCAGCAGCCAATCGCAGCCCAGCTTTTGGGATCCCAACAGGATCTTTCAGACAACAGCCAATCCAAAGCCAGCCGGGGCAGCGGGAGCAGGAGGCACGGTCAACAGCACAGCCAGTCACAGCTCTGCTTTGGTGGGTGGGGATGCTCCGACAGCCAGTCGTAGCCCAGCTTCCAGGAGGATTATTCACAGGCAGCCAATCACAGCCTGGCCCTTCACTGTGCCGGTGATCGCGCAGAGTGGCCAATCAGGGCGCAGGTCTCCGGAGGGCACCCAGTGCCTGGGGGGGTGCGGGTGCTCCGAGGCGCTTGGGGACCCGCTGAGCCCCGGCGGGATCCGACGCGCCCCATCACTGTGGAGGATCCGGCGCTGCGGCGGGCCGGATGAGCCCCGGCGCCACGAGGGGACCGGACGAACCCCGGTGCTGTGGGACGTACAGTGAGCCTCAGTGCCGCCCGGGCCCCTGAAGGCTCCCACCACCGCCGGTGTGGGATGAGCAGCTCAGCCTTCCTGTTGCCCAGGCCACCCCCAGCAAGCGGGGCTACTCCAGGACACGCACAGCCCCCCAGGACAGGAGCAGCCCAGGCAGGCAGACACCAACGTGCTGGACGCCCCAGAGACGGACAGCTCCTGTCCCCAGCTGAGAGCCAGGAAGCCTAACCAGTGCTAGGCTGAGGGCTGTGCGAGCAAGATGGACCTCACGCGTGCAGACGTGCCAGAGATGAGCTGAGCATCGTCGTCAGACCCCGCGGGGCCACGGGGGTGCCGAGCACGGAGGGAAGGGCTGCAGCACAGAGACGCCGGGGGGGGCTAGCCAGGTGGGCGCTGCACCGCGCCCCAGCCTGGGCCTTCGTGTCTGACGTTCACGCAAAGATCAGCCAAACCGTTCCCCGACAGCGCATGCCGGAAGCGCCCTGCCAGCTGGGCCACCCCTCCCTCCCAGGCGCCCGGCAGCAGAGCTCACTCTGGCAGGTTTCTCTTCAGCACCCTGCGGAGGGCTGCCAGGCCTCTGGCTCAGCACTGGCCTTTGCCTTTTTTGCACCTAGCTTGGCCCCAAGCTGGGCCCCAGCAGAAAGCATCCCCCACCCTGCCTCGAGAGCAACTGCCTAGGGCAGGTTCTCACTGCTGTCTAGCACAGCCAGCTCCTACTGCACTGCTCACAACCTTCCTCTGGTGCAGACCCTGGCAAGGCTGGGTCTCCTCCTGCCTCCTCCGGTGCCCTCCCATCAGCACTCCAACCCCGATGACGGGAACCAGCTCTCCTGTGGTCCCTCAGGGCAGAGACCGTCCCAAGCTCACAGCAAGAACAGGGCAAGGCAGGCCCCAGTGCCTGGCTGGCACAAGCTCTTTGGTGTCAAAGAGGAGCAGGCACCACACTGCAGCTGTGCCAAGCTCCGTGGGTGCTGGCAGAAATGGGCTGGGCCCTGTGCGTGGGCACCTGGGCGCATTTCAAGGCTCTGTGGCTCCAACAGTGCCGAAAGGGACGCGAGCTCTCACCTGGCTGGCAGCAGCTTCCGCAGAGGGGGTGCGCTCGGTTCGGTGGTCTGGGGGGTGCCCTGGCAGGGGTCTCTCCACAGGAGAGTTCCGCCGGCGGTAGAAGAGGACATACGCGTATCTGGTTACCACCTGGCTCTCATCCACGGTGGTGACTGTGCTGTCGTCAAAGAGCCGCCAGCCTGAGAGGAGAGAAGGGTTAAGCAAGCAGACGGGCCACGGCTGCAGGAGAGGTGGGGCGGCAAGGCTGGCAGATCCTCACCCACGTCACTGCGCTGGCTGTTCTTGTCGTTGGGCAGGCGGGCATACGCCGTGTAGTGTCCCCCAATCATGCCTCCGTAATGGTTGATCACAGCATATAGGTCATACATGGGCAGCTGCTGCTCTCCCTTCCGGCCAATGCAGAACTTGCTCAGGTCCAGGCTCCTGGGGAGAGACACAGGGACAGTCAGCGATAGGCAGGGAGAGGCCAGGCTGCAGGGCAGCACAGGCAGTGCCAACCCAGGCACTTCCATCTCCCAGGTTCTCACCGGACAGGGAAGTCCACCATGTCGTTGATCTTGTCCCTCCAAATAAAGCTGCGGAAGGAGAAGCGCTTGAGCTGGATAATGAGGACGTTGGGTAGCCGCCACAGCATCAGCTGCTTGGAGGCCTCACGGTGCTGCTTGCACTTGGGGCAGTACCTGGGGAAAGAGTGTGCTCATTACCGGTACAGGAAGAGCCTCGGGTCTCACAGCCCAGCCCAGCCCCAAGGTCCCCCACATGTGGGGCTGGCAGAGGGGATGTGGGAGGTTCTCAGCCTCCCCTGCCAGGGGCAGGCCAGCACAGTCCTACAGAGCGCTGGCATTGCTCCCTGCTGGCTCATGGCCTCCCTCCCCAGTGCACAGGGAAGGCCAGCCCAACACCCCTGGCCACCAGAAGAAACAGCCTGCAGGCCTGGGCAGCTCCTGGGAAACCCCTGCTGCTGCCTGGGCCCACAGGCTGGAACCCAACCTGCCGCCTCCCTCACCACGCTTCTTCCGGGGCCAGGACTTCGGGCTTGGTGAAGAGATTGAGGCACTGCTCCAGGGTGAAGTGGCCAGCCCGGGCTGCTTCACTGGCCGAGCCTGGGTCCTCCACGCACTCCAGCTCCTTGGACTCCACCAACACAAATTCCTTGAGGCGTTCATTGTTCTTCCACACCAGGGCAAGGGAGCAGTCATCTGTCAGCTCCAGGGGGGTGTCACCTGCAAAGGGGCGCACACCTCACACACCTGCCCCACCAGGCTGGGCCAGGCCACCTTGCTGGGGCTAGGAGCAGTCTTGCCCATCCTGGCTCGATACAGTGATCATGCAGTGCTGTCAGGAAGGGAGAGGTGCCCCATGGCCAGGTTCACCATCCCAGGGTAGCAAAGCCTCCCAACCAGCCAGGGAGCAAGGCTGGCACAGCCCCTCTCGGCAGCGCCTACATAACCAGCACTGGATGCGGGCATCCCATTCAGACAAGAGGTGACCCAGAGATCACAGACCCTCTGTGGATGCAGGAGGTTGAAGGGAATTGGTCTATTTGCTGAGGAGAGCAGGAACATCATGCCCAAGAAGAGCTTCCAGGCAGCAGCTCTGTGCAGCAGAGCCCTGGCCTCCCCTGTGCCAGATGCAGCTTTCGCTGTCCAGCCTGGGGCCACTGTCACATCTGGGTTCACCTTGGGCCAGGCAGATCTACCACCCCACCAGAGGTCACAAGGAATGAAGGTGGCGCTTTCTGGGACTCTGGGCTCACCTTTATCTTCCAGCTTGTGCTCTCGGTTGGCAGCATCGATCTTGTTGATGTAAAACTGCGTGGCACGGGCGCTCAGTGAGTCTGGAGTGTGCTGGTACCCAGGGATGGCAGCTGTGGACAGGCAGGGACAGATCTGTGGTGGCACTGCCTGTCTGCCCTGCATAGGGGCCAAGAATTTGCAGTGCCCCCACCCCCCACCTCACATGCTACGGCCTTGCAAGGGACACAACCACGTGCCCCATGTCCTTGACTATTTTTAGCAGGCGCCTGCCCCTGGCAAGCTGCGCTCCTCTGCCTGCCTTGCCCCTTCGCTGCACATTGCTGCCATCCTGAGACGAGTGTCTGGAAACGTGACAGCCAGGCAGCCGAGCGCAAGAGGCTGCTCCCGTGCAGCTGAGTCAGAGCGAGGGAAACGCTGCGCTCACAGCCCTGAGGGGCTCAGCCCGCGCTGGGCTCTGCCCTTCCACGGGACTCTGAGTCTTCTGCCAGCCCCTGCCTTCCCACCCCTCCCACAGCAACACAACACTCCAGACTCTTTCCTAGTCAGGTCTCTGCTCTGCCCCATGGGCCCTGCCAGGGCAAGGCAGAGCGTGGGCAGACAGGCATTTCAGGTGGGGCAACACTCCCAAAACACAGCTCCCAGAGCCTCATTTATGTTCCCAAGGGTCTCCAGACCAAGCTCACAAGGAGAGAACAGATGCTGCGGTCGAGGGTCCCCCAAAGGAGGAAGCATTGCTCCTGTTTTTTCTTGGGGCTGCCTGGGCTCCTGGCACAGACACTGTTAGCACCACAGCACCTCTTACCTTCTGGCTTGAGTGCTCTCTCATAGGATGGCTCCTTCTCACAACAGCTGTCGCCCTGCGACTCCATGTGCTCAGAGAAGCCCGAATCCAAGCTCAACAGGGAACTCCTAGCTGCCAGGACCTTGCTCCGGACAGTGCCAGTGTCCCCCAGCTCCAGGTGCAGCTCAGGCACAGCTGGCGAGAGCGGGGGCTCCTGCAGGAGGCTGGTAGCCCTATCCACGTCCCCCAGCTCAGGGGCAGAGGTGGCTGCTGCACAGCTGCTTTTGGCCAGGGGGTCCAGCTTGTCTGGGAGCAGAGGCTGCAGCCCCTGGTCTGGTGACATCCGGCCCAGCTGGAATGGAGGCTGGAACACGCTGACTGAGTACCTGGGCAAGGAGGTGGCAGTCAGAGCTGGCCAGACACAGGGCTGAGCTCAGCTCTGGGGCAGAAGCACCCTCCTTTCCCGGACCCTCACCTTGCGTAGCCCTCCAGCAGTTGGGCCAGGCGGGCATAGGTGAGGCGGGACTCTGGCACACTGATGAGGAAGGGGAAACCGATGTTCTCGGGGCGGCACAAAGCCTTGTGGTCTGGCCAGTGTGTTTTCTGACATGCCCTGTAACACATACAGCCCCTGCTGAACCCAGCATCTGTGACCACCCCAGGCAGGAGCACAGCAGTGGCAGAGGGGTGCAATGGGGACAAGGGGAGCACCACGAGCCAGACTGGCTCTCTCCCAAAGGCCAGGCCCATCCCACCTCCTCCCAGTGGTCTGAGCTCTCCCATCCAGCCTTTCAAGGCAGGACACCCTCCCTCCCTGCCAGGCACCAAGCCAACTCACACGTTGCAGTAACCGACTCGATAGCACCTCGTGCAGCGCCTGAGCTTCTCATCCTCTGGCAGCTGCTTCTTCTGGCAGGCCGCACACTTGGCGACGGGGCCACTGGGCACCTGTGGACGCTGCAGGAGAAAGGACCCGTCGGGCAGGGAAGGGCACCCGGGCAGGACAAGGTAGCCTTGGTGGGCATCCGTGCTCGCTGCAGCTAGTCACCCTTGCATGCAGCTCTCCCCCTCCTGCTCAGCCCCACTTGCAGGCTCAGCCTTCCTGCATGCCTCCCAGTAGTCCCAATATCCCCTCTTACCTGCTGGACCTGCAGCTCGACCACCCGCTCCTTGGCCAGCTCTGGGGACAGCACCTCGAAGCAGAGCAGCAGGTCTGTGGGGGAGACTGTGTCCAGCGAGTTGGATGGCAGGAACATGCGGTGGAAGCGATTCTTGATCACCTGCCAGGAAAGCAGTGGAGTGGGGCCTTGTGAGGGCTACCCCATGCTTCCTATCCTGAGAAAGCCAGACCTCAGCCCCACAGTGAGCTGCTGGGACAGCAGCACCACAGGGATGCTGTGCTCAGCTCACCACCTCACCAGGGGAGGAGGTACATCCCCTGCCCTACTGCAGTGGCCCAGCCCTCCTGAGCAGGGATCTGCCCAGCAGCACCCTGTGCATGACAATGCTGCCCGCGGACAAAATCCGTCCCATGGACATGTTGGATATGGGCAAAGGACTGTCAGTGACCATATTCCCTGCAGAGCTGTGGGAGCCAGGGCACCCACAAGAGCAGCCCATGGCTTGCTCCCCAGCTTGAGCACTCTCACCTCTGCCAGGCGCAGGTTCTCTGGTTTCACGCGCACGCTGTGGGCCACTGAGTCAAGTACCTCCATGGCACTGGAGTTCTCCTTGCTGATACTCACAAGGAACTGCCACCAAGAAAGTGCCACATCAGTCACAGCACACCAAGGCATGTGGGCCCTTACTTAACACAAGGCTTAGCCTGTTGGCACATAACCAGCTGCCTGGGGCACCTCCAGGAGCCCTCTCAGGCTCCCTCCCCAGAGCAGACTATGTCCTGTACCTTGATGGGTTTCTTGTGCGGTTCCTTTGCAAAGTAGTAGACGGTCAGCACCTTCTGCTTCTGCGGGAGGGGCACGGGGAGGTACAGGAAGGGGTCAAAGGTGATGGACACCTGCAGATGCGAGAGCATGCTCAGTTGTGGGAAGTGCTTGTGGCTGAGATCAGCGGGGCAGTAGCCCTAGCAGACCTAAGATCCAGCCTTGCCCTGTGACCTGTGCTCTCCGAGGGTCAGGAGCCTGCTGCCGCACAGCCAGGACAGGGACAGAGCCTCCAGGGCTGCCCTACCTTGGAACACACTGGGCACACCAGCTTGGATTTGTACTGGCCCTGGAAGAGGTCCACAATGAAAGAGTCATTCCTCATCTTGTGTCGCTGCCAGGCCTCCTCAGCTACCACCTGCAGGGAGAAAGGGCTCAGCACTACACTAAACTACCCAGGCCAGGGCTGCTCACCCAGTGCCTTTGGGGAGGGACATCCTCACCTCGTCAGGCCTCCCATCCGAGTCAACAGTCTCTGTGTAGGGCTTGTTCTGGATGCGGTTGAGGTCTTCGTGCAGGCCATCGAGCAGGAAGGCCATGAACTCCTGAGCATCGTGCTGGGCATAGCCAGTGAACTGGCTGGCCTTGCTGGCCACGACTGCCTAGGGGAGCACAGTAGTCAGGGCTGGCCAGCGGCGCCCCCAGCAGCACTGCCTGCCCAATGCACAAAGCCTGGCTGCACCCACCCACACCCACCTAGCTCTCCGTGGCAGTAGCAGGGCAGCCAGGTGCCTACAGCAGAGTGCTGGGCCCTGACCCACAGCAACTCCTGTATAGCGCCGGTGCCTGCGGCCCTACCTTCAGTTTAGAGGGCTGGAAGGCATGGTGCGTGCCCTTCCACAGCGCTCGCAGCAGCATGGCAAAGCCAATGGCCAGGCGTCCCCCCGTCCCCAGCGGGTTGTTGTAGTTGATTTCAGACTCAAAGGACCGATCTGTAAGAGATGCAGGAGAGCAAGGGTGGCTGCAGGCTGCACCGTCTGAGTGGCAGGGCTCTGCTGGGCTTCCAGTGTGGGCTCACCATGGAAGTAGTCGCGCAGTTCCCGGGTGTTAGACAGGGACTGGATGACGCTGTTCATGAAGCAGGTGTTGCCCAGGTTCACCAGCCCCGTGAAGCCAGGCAGGCAGACCTTCTTCTTCTCGTCCTCATCCTCATCATCCTCCACGCTCTCGGTGCTCACAGGGCTGTGTGTCATTGGTGGCACCATGCACGTTGGTTTGGGCTGCCGAAGCAGAGGTGGGTGTAAGGGTGCTGCGCTCAGGGGTCTCTCTGGGAATACCAGGGGAACCCAAAAGCCCAGGGCACCCCTCTGATGTGGCTGGGCTGGAGCCATTACGCTATCTCCCACCAGGACTGGGATAGACAGGCCAACCACTGCCCTCAGTCCTGCCAGCTATGACTGAGGAGCAGTGCCCCCTCCTCCAGGAACAGTTTGTCAGTCCCCAGAGCAACACCAAGGAGGTGGGGTCCCACGAGAAGGACAAATGGGCCTCCCTTTCCCCCTGCCAAGGTCAAATCCTGTGCATCCCTACTCACCGAGGGGATGTGCGGCTCTTGCTTCACTGCCACATGCTCTGGGGCTGTACGGGCTGCCACGCCATCCAGTCCGCCATCTTCCACACGCGGCTTCTCTTTGTCACTGGCTCGGGCCTCCTCCTTGCTGGACAGGGGGTGCTGGTTACTGCCCGGGGGGTTCTTGTCCAGAGGGGTAGGGCCTGTAGGCATGGCAACCTTTGCACCACCCACTGCACCTTAAAAAGGGGGAAGGGTGGGCCTGTGGTTAGCAGCACCATGCGCTGCCCACGGCGGGGCTGAGCCGCTCGGTCCATGCTCACACACAGGCTCTCTCCTACCCCTCTTCTTTGTAAGCAAGGGGAACAGCAGTGCCCTTCCCCTAGCACTTGGCTCACCCTGCCCTACACCCCTCCTGCCTGCACCCACTCAGTCCCTCTCCTTCCCCACAACCCCGTGCTGGAGGATCTGGTACCAGCTGGCTGCTGCTGGCAGTGAGGATGGCCCATGCCCCACTAGGGTGCAGCAGGTAGGCAAGACAAGAAGGCAGGGTGCAGACCTCGTGTGGCTGGAGCTTCCAGCCCCCCCCAGCGCTGGCTCTGGCGTTTCTTCAGGCAGACGTCAATGCGAGACATCGTGAAGTTGTACGTGCACTGGTCTGGCTCAATAAGGTTCCTGCAAGACATGCAGCAAGGTCAGGGGTGCCCCAGATCCCCCAGCAGCCTCAGACATGCCAAAGCCTCTGCAAGGCAGGGCCATGGCCTCCAGGCAGTAGGGACCTGGCCAGCACTGATTCCAAGGTGGCCCTGACAAAGGGTGGAAACCCTTGAGCCTGGCCACACTGAACACAGAGGGCCCCTTTCCTGCCAGATCCATTCTGCGTGGCTCCACAAGCCCCCTCCTGCTGGACATACTACCCAAAATGCACACAGGCTGGTCTGACTGTCCCCAAGAGCTCTAGAACAGGCTACGGGGGGAACTGCAGGCAAGAAGATGCTGGGATTTCCTCCACTGCAAGCCACTACACAGAGCCAAGGCAACCCAGGCTTGGGGCATTAGCACAGCATGGTGTAAGGGAAGCCCCCAGGTGCAGAAATGAGCATTCCCTGCACAGACCCACCAGCCAGGACTGGCTCCAGCTCTGCCCTCTCAGCTCCCTTACCCCAGTGCAGGCTAGAAGGACAGGAGCCATACCTGAGCTTCACCTGCCACCGGAACACTGTGTGGGGCCCACAGCCAGGATGGAGGCGAAGGAAGTTTGTGTCACTGTAAAGACATCAGAAGTGAGTGAGAAGAGGTGAACAAACAAGTAGCCCAGCCGCAGCCAGGAGCTCTGCAGGAGCCTGGCACGCTTGTACCTTGTCTGGAACACCAGGGTGAAGTCTTGCTCCCGGAATAACACCTTGGACGTCTCCTTGTGGATCTCCTTCACGTAGACGTGCACTACCACCAGGTCATTGCCCTTCTCGTATGAGTCATTCTTGACAAAGGTCAGGCTCACAAAAGGCTCTGGCTCTGAGAGAGGAGAACCGTGGAGAGAGACATTACCTTCTTTGCACACCAAGGCAGTGCTCCAGGCTGACCCAGGAAAGGTCCTGAGCAGATGGACCTTCCTGACCAGGCTGACCCCTGGGCTCCAGCCACCCACCATCAGCCGCTGCTTCCAGAGCCACATCATCCTTGGACCAGTCCCTCTTCTCACCGTCTCTGCTTGGGGGAGGGGTGGCTGCTGGGACAGTCTTAGAGCTCTCTCCCAGGACAGGTGTGCAGTCCCGGCCCCGCAAGGCCTCAGCAGGGCTGCCTGGCTGCAGGACCCTCTTCTCCACACAGGTGGCAACACGGTGGGGGAACACCTCTGTGGTAGCTGCGAGAGGTGGCATCTCCACAGGAACACTTTCCTTGGCCAAAACCACAGCCTTTCAAGACAGAGGCACACGGTGAAAAACAGACACTGTCACCCCCAAGCTGCCCTGGTCCACCCGCTGTGGCTCTTGCCAGCCAGGCAGGCACAGCTCCACGTCGCCTGCTTCCCCCACACATCCCATGTTCGGTTCAGCCTCATTAGCGCCAGAGGACATGATCAGTCCAGTGACTGCAGGGTCCTCACATCACCCTCTCCTCCACCACAGCCAGGCCCACGCCAGCCCTCAGCAGCACCCATGGAACCCCAAAGCCCATCTCATTGGCAGGGATAGGCCCCTGCGTGAGCAACATGCCCTGCGGCGGGGCTGAGGGAGCAGGGCCCATGTGGCTGGGTCCTTGGGTACCTTCTCCAGTGGCGGTGCGAGGTCTGCGAGGGCTGTGGGCGCATCAACCTGGCTGGCTCTGCCATTGCGGCGGCTGCCTGCCCTCCCGCTGTGCCCTTTGCTGGGCTCCACGCTCCCAGTGACTCTGGCATTTGGCTCCTCTTCAGTGGGAGCCACTTTGAGGTATACTGCCCGCTTGGCGCTGGGGCCGCTCTGTGTCCCTGGGCTGGCTGGGCTTTTCCCTCCCAGAGCCTCACTTCTTCCTGGAGCGCGCTTGGGGTTGGAGGGCTCCCGGCGGGACCTTGGCGGTTCTGCACCTTCAGCCCTTGGCTCTTCAGGGGCCAGCTCTGCAGAAGCAGCCTTCTCCTTCCCATTCTCCCAGCATGTGGTCCCTTTGGCCAGCTCTTTGGATCCGTCTTTCCTTCTCTTCTGTGAAAAGCAGTGCAGCACAGTGGGAAGCTATCCAGGTAGCAGCACCTCTCACGCTCTCTGCCAACCCCTCACCCTCACACCCCCTTCCCAGAGCACGCTGGGGCTCTGCTCCAGACCTGGAGGCTATGTGGCAGGTGGGAACAGGGGTACAATGACACACCCCTCTCTGGGACAGAGGCAGCTGGCTCACTGCCCTCACGCGGCATGTGGATGCAGGATGTGCCCACATTGCTCCCTGGGCAGCTCAGGAGCAGGGAGTGAAACCCTCACCCCAGCTCCCCCCAGCTCCGTAAGGATCTTCAAATGGCAGATTCTCCCCTCCTCACCAGAAGCGAAGACCAGGTATGGAGTGGGATCTTCTTCTGAAGCACAAGCTGTAGAAAGTTGCCCTTCTTGCACTGGACCTTGCTGCAGGAGCTCTCAATTTCCTCATAGAACTGACAGCTCCACTGGCGCCCGTCTACAAGCAGAGGGGGACTGCACCTCAGGCAGTGCTCCAGGCAGCTGTCACCTAATCCACAGCCCCCTTTCACCTGCCCCAAGGATCAAGGGAGCACTCATCCAGAGCCAAGGAGGCCACAGGCAAGCTGCCACCATACCCCAAGAGCTTTCAGGGCTTCAGCCAGCTTCCCTGGATTTGCTTTGTACATCTGGCTGGCCTCCTTCCCAGAAGGAAGGCCCTGGGCCTCCCTGCCCTCAGGCGCACAGTCGCTTTTCCAAGGGATGCCTAGGGGCGACTCAGAGTCATCCCAGTGAGCAGGGGACAGAGACGCACCAGTGCAGCAGTGGGCACTTGTTCACTTGGCACAGAGGCCAGCTCCTGCCCTCCCTAGCTCTATACCCTTCTTCTTTTACACAGCTCTTGTATCAGCCCTGCCTGCTGGCTGAACCTGTGCCAGCTGACAGCAAGGCATTGCCTCTGAAGGAAAGGTTTTATGCCTGCCTGGATCAGTCCCACGTCTAGTCCAGAGCTGCGCCAAGCCCCGCTGGAGAAACGCCTGCAGCAGTTGCTTCATTCCTCATACCTGGTAGTTTGACCACACAGTCCGTGTCGGTGAAAGCAGCATCTACATCCTCCACCTTCAGAGCTCCACTGCCCAAGTTCAGTTTGACGATGATCTCGTCAGCGTTCTGCTTCCAGTCCAGCAGCAGCTCTAGGAAGAGGGAGGAAAGTGTCATCTACTTGTTGGGGCATGAGCCTGCAGTGCCCACTGCTTGGCTGGGGAACACAAGCCTGAATGCACGCTCGGTTCAAGGAGGTCAACGCAGGGGACACAGATAATGCCAATTAAATGAGATGTTCACAGCCCGCTCTCATCAGACAGGCCACAGACAAGAGCACATGTTGCAGCAGGGCAGGTGAATCCCGGTGGGAACTGGAGAGATCAGAAAGGCAGCGCTGCTCTCGGCCCCATCACATGCAACAGCAGCGGCTGGGAAGAAGGGGTGGCTCCTGCCAACTACAAAGCAATCGCTGCTTTCCCAGGAAACGAGGAAGCCACAGAATTACTCTGGGGAATTCAAGTGGACTCTGACCACAATCAGAAATTGCCACTTCCCCTTTGCATATGCAAACCAAGGAGCCCAGCTGCAATCACCAAAGCATTGTACTCCTGCCAGGTGAGCACTGCTAACATGGCTGAAACATCGGCAGGCTCGCCAGCCGGGCAAGAACACTGCACCCAGGGAGAAAATGGTGCAGCAGCATCACGCCGCTGCAGGCAGAACCTCCATCAGGTGCCTGCGAGGCTCCAGGACCGGCCCTGTGGTGTCCTGAAGTCTTCAAGGCAAAAAGGTGATTTCAATCACCTTAATTTCTATCAGGTTTGTTCTACCCTCTGTGGCATGAGGATGTCCTATTCCGTCCTCAAAGCAGGCCTGGACCAAGGCACAAACCAGCCAACAATGCCCGCTGGGTGACACAGCTTGGGATCTTCCCAGCCCAGCATGGCTCCCTGCTCAGAAACAAGCAGGACAGATGCTGGCAGCAAGGCATCCCAGAGCTGTGCTCAGTGGCACCGTGACACCTGAGTTGGAAGCAGCCTGCCACATGCCCATGGCTCTTCTCCACCCCTGGGAAGGCCACACCCTGCTAAGACAAACTACCTCCCTAAGAGGCAAGGGAGCGCTCAGGTTAGTTCTGCTCAATGCCAGAGCATGGGACAACGACAAGGTGAGAGCTTCAGATCCCTTGGCAAGGGCACTCCATGGCCATGCACTGACAGCCAGCGCACACCTCGACTTACCCTCCTCTGAGTCCTTCTCCTGGGCAGTCTCAGCCTGCTCGAGCTCAGGGCGAGACACTGGTGGGCAGAGAAGCAGAGCGCGGGCAGGTCTGTCATTCTGTCACCTCAAGAGCATGGGCCAGCATGCTGATGCCCAAAATTTCACACATCACCTCCTTCTCCCCGGAACCTTTGTGCAGGCCTTTCATTCTACATGTACTGCTCATTTCCCTGCTCTGCTTCCTCACACCTCTTCCTTTCCCGGAGCCCTACCTGCAGCACCACCGCAAGTCAGCCCCCAGGACTGCTGCTCTGGGCCACACCACCATATCCCAGTCTAACCAGCACCACAGTGGCAGCAACACAACATTACTGCACCATGCAGACAGCGCTGCTTTGAGGCATGTCTCAGTGTGGAGTTTGTGGTAACCAGGCTGTGTGCCCCTGCTCAGTGCACCAGGCCCTCAGCCTCCAGCTGTACAGAGGAGTTCCTGCCTTGATCTGACAGGGAGAACCTGATGTTTGGTTGTGCTCAAACCAATTCTGCTGTAATGAGAGAAACACGTGGCCCAGCTTCACTTTAACATTCCCATTCCTGCGCAAGCTGCCAACATCTGTGGCCAAAACCTCCTTCCAGATCAGGCTGGGGAACCAAACTGACCTGACACCTGATCCCTGCTCCCCTCAGGATTACCTCCAACAGCCAGAAGTGTCTCAGGGCCTGGTCCACCCCCACAGGGTGGTGAGATCTGCCAGGCAAAGGGCTCAAAGCAACAGCACCTGGTCCTGGAGCAGAGAAACAGCAGCAACGGGAGCTGTGGTCTCTACCCTGGAGCGCTCAGAGGGCTGTCACTGCCTCCCTTGATCAGCTACAAAACAGTAGGGAACCTCTGCTGACCACTGGAGTCACTGGTGCAAAGGTGCTGGTGGGGCTGGCACTGTGAGAAGCACTGCAGCAGCACTGCCTGGAGGATCTACAGCTTGCTCCAGCCCCTCGTCACCTCTGCACAGAGAGGATGGAGACAGCACGGCCACACCACAGCCCCTGGGAAGGCAGGAGGCCCCTGCATCAGAAGGTGTAGAGTGTCAGGCCTTACTAGAGATACAGCACACCTTCCACGTGAGAGAAAGTGCAATGCTGTGCACTCTGCACCATGGAATTTTGCATCGGGGACTGCAGCTGGCCGTTCCAGCACAGACCTCAGCAAGCGCTCGTTTACCTTGGCCTACAAAACACCCTGTGATTTTGAGGTTACAGCAGTCATAACAGAGCAGGCACAGAAATCAAGCAGTTTTCCAGGGCCGCAGGAACTCTTGCCTGCATCCTGCCCGCAGGCATTCCCTGCACCTGAAGCATCGTTTTTGTCAGATACACATCAGCTACAGAAGGAATTACTGCACAGCAACTATTTCACTTGAGCCACACCTTGCCCTGACACAGAAGCTAAAGCACCAGCCCCACCCACAGGCCCCGCACTCGGCAGGTGCTGTCAGCACCCGAGCTGCCGCCTCGCAGCATCTGGCCTCGGCAAACTGATGGGGAAGCAGCACTGCCTCCAGCTGCAAGAGCACCCGCAGGCTTCAGTCCCGCTCCCTCTGGATCGGGGCAGCTCAGTCCCAGCCAAAAGCAGTCTAGAAACAACCACCGAGGCCAATGCCAGGCTTAAGCTAACAAGGCCTCAGGCTGACCTTCCTCACATAGCTGGGGCTAAGTAGCACCCAAAGGAAGGAGGTTACAGGTCCAGGCAGGACACTGTGCTGAAGAGGATCCCACATCACACGGGTTACCATCAGCTGCAGGAAGCGATTAGTTAAATCTGCTTATCCTGCAGCAGATGGCTGCGAGGCTCCCACCCTGCAGGGCCGAAGAACCATGGGCCTGCTCGCCACAGTGCTGCCGAGGGGCTCTCACCTTCCTTGCTCTCCTGGTTGGCTCGATCCTTCTGCTTCTTCTTGTTGGTGGCATCATCCAAGCCCCGAGACACTCTCCTCTGACCAGGGGCATTGGTGCTGCTGGACATTTTCAGCCGTTTGGAGGACACAAACGGCCCACCGGGGTCGGTAATGGAGTCTGGGTCAGGGGTGCGACGTTTTCTTCCTGGCCCAGCTATCTTGGCGACTCTCTGTGGTCAAACTCTCTGGCAAGGAACTAGTGGCCTAAAGAGAGGAGAGAGTGAGCGTGGCAGGAGGAGCAGGTGGAGGAGGCCCAATAGCATCAGGATCTGCTCTCTGCCCCAGCGCCAGGCCCTCCCAGGACCAGTGCCCTCACACGACCTTCACTGCAGCGTTTACGGGAAGCCCCACGCAGCGCTCAGTGAGGAAACCTACCTCATCACAGCTGTTACAACGCTTACTGCCAAAAGCATGGGCTTGTCAGAGCTCCCAAGATACAACCAGGGGTCTTCCGTATGTGGCACACATTACAAACCTGGAAAGCAATTGTCATGCTCATGGTTCCCACTACAGCAATACTGGCCCAGAGAAGCCGCCGGCGCTAACAACACCCAGAGGCAGAGCTGAGGGTGAGGACATGGGGAGGCCCTGATCTGCAACATCGAGCCTCCAGGGTCAAGTGGGGCAGCCCACCCCACAGCTCGGGGCAGCAGCTATTTCAGTCAAACAGTGCCCCATGTAAGAGGGTGGGAACAGGAGTGAGTAACGCCCTAAGAAGGAAGAAAGGGGAGAAGCGGGAACAGGCCCGGGATAGTCTCCCGTGACAGATGAGAGTGGCACTCCCTGGCAAAAGGAGAGTTCCTCTCCCTCCGCCCACCAGCTGGGAGCTTAACCAGCATGACTGCACCTTGCGTATTCATCTCCCTGCCGGTTTACAGACAGCGTCAGCGGAGCCTGGCCTGGAAACAGGACACCTCTGCTCCGCATGCCCCAGGGAGAGGGCAGGGCAGGCAGGGTGCTTGCCCCTGCCCCCTTAGACATGCCTTCCCAGGCAGAGCCAACTCCCCTATGGGTTTGGGAGCTGCTGGCCCAAGGGTTGGTCTCGGTTTTGCTCTCTGGTTTCGCCCTCGGGTGTTCATGGCTTCAATAGAGGAGAGCTGGAACAACGCACTGAAAACAGTCCCACTTGAGGTGCCTCTGTGGAGGTGGTGAAAGCAGAGAGCTGGAAGGCTTCCTCCCTCACTGCCCCGGTTGCACACCCTGACCCTGGTAGCGCTCACCAGTCTGCAGGGGTTTGCTGCGGTGGAGCAGGCCCTGCCGCACAGATCCGGCCCACCCCCAGTTGCCAGCAGCCTGCAGCAGCTGCCGGTGCACTGATTCACACCACATCCCATGGCCCTGCTCCCATGTGAGGACACAGAGCTGAGCCTGACAGCACCCTGGTCTAGCCCAGCTAAACTGAGCCTGCCTCTCCCTCAGCAGGAGGCAAGCCATGCCCTCGGGAACACCTTGTCCTGCCCTCACCTGCGTACCAAGCACAGACCCCATAGCTCCGCTTGGGCACGGCCAGGGACAGGAAGCACCTCCAAGGGAAATGCTCAGTCAGAGGGAGCACACTGGTGCCTCTGTGTTACCTACCCCACATCACTGAGGCGTTTGTATTCTAGAAATGCTCGGGGCAACAAGTAGCCACAAACTTGGAGATGTAGCCACAAACTGCAGGGACCCCAGAGAGCAAAGCAGTCCTGCCCTGCTCTTAGGTTTGGCAAAGCCAGCCCCACAACAGGCATTGCGCCCAAACCGTTTCTCTTCAGGCCAGCTTGGCCGTGTAACCAAGAGCCACCAAAGCCAAGAGAAAAGCTCAAGTGCCAAGTCCAGCCTCGCTGCCTGGCACAGACAGCTCCTGCCACCTGCGGTGGAGGGACCCGAAACAACCTGGAGATGGGGATGCTGAGCAGGGCCCAGCATCAGCCTCAGAGAGCTTGAAAGTGTGGGAGGACAGCAATGCCAGCCCCAAGCTGCTACACACTGGGTCTCCCTGGGATGCAGAAGTGCCTCTGGCTGCAGAGGGAATGGGAAGGGGCCCTTGCAGCGGCGAATGTGGCTGTGCTTCGCAAGGCTGGCCCTCTGACGCCAATAGCATGCTGTTGCTCAGCTCCAGCCCCCACTGACACCAAAACAGGTCAGCTACAAATGCTTCCCAGCACTGAGAAAGCTAACCTGGGCTTGGCAAACACGGGAAAGCATTTTTTGCTGAAGGGGTGGCATAGGGTAACTGCTGGGCAAGGCAACAGCAAGCTCCAAGGAGGGTCCTGGAGGGCTGAGAAAGGATGACCCTCTGCCCGAGAAGGGGTCGTGTGTCTGCTGTCACTCCTCCGGGAGAAGCCTGCTGCTCTCACGCCTCACTGAGGGCACGGCTCCCTCGGGTGCTTTGCCGACAGTTATTCCTAATGGCAGGCAGGAACCAAGCAGGGCTGGAGCTCTGCCCGATTCTAGCTGCCAGACTGATGGCAGCCCAAGGCCGCTGTGGGCACCGCAGGATTCTGGAGGCGTGCAGGCAAAGCACAGATTATTCCCATTCACCTATTCTAACCCCTGAGACTTTCTGCCTCTCTGCCATCAGGAAACGTGCAGCCAGGCAGGATGCTCAGCCCCTGGGTGTGCAGGGGCATGGAGTTTTTGGCACCACTAATGTCGGCACTGTAGGAGCAGCTGCAGGGGAGAGATGGTGAAAGGCTGCCCTGGATAGATGCCAGGTGTACCTCCGAGAAGCACCTGATGGTCTAGGTGCTCATACAAAACCTTACTCAGTCATTCTCCAAGCTGGGAAAGCCTGGCCATGCTGCTGAGAGAGGAGGTGCATCCTTCCCCTCTGTTCTCCCAGCCATTGTGCCGGTGCGAGGACCCACATGGCTGCAGCATGTACTGGATCAAGACGCCAGCCAGAGCAAAACTGCTTTCTGCCAGGTTTGTCTTACCCTAGAGCAGTTCCCCAACCCAGTTCATGCATGGTCTGCACAAACACTTTCACTGGCCAGAGGAAAGGGAGAACTCAGGAATAGGAGCAAAGGGCCAGGGAGAAGAGCTGCCCCTTCCCGCAGCAGCACCAGACTAGGCTAGTGTAAATGCTTAGGGAATGACAGCAGAAGGTGCACAAGACACAATTTGCACCCCCACCCGTGTTTGGGGCACATTTAGCACTTGGCAGGAAGAGGTCCCTGGTTCTTGCCTGCAGCATACCCCCCCCCCCCACCCCCCAAAGGCCTTCACTAGGGTGGCTGTGAAGGTTGGCTATCTCCCAGGCTCATCCTTCCATGGACTTTTGGCTCCTCCATGTCCTGAATACAGCTGACAGAAACACTTCCCTCGCACCCACAAGTACTTTTGTCACCTTCTGCTCCTTGTCACCCCGGGGGATCAGAAGTGTCAAGACTCAAGCTCGTCTCTTACTTCAGTTTCTCAGCGTGCCTGACACGTAGGCTAAGCCAGAACAAGCAGAGAGCCACTCAGGGCAGGCGCCCAGCCCAGCACTGCCACACGTAACATTTCTGACCCGTGTGGAAATCACCGTGGCCCCAAAGCACCGTGACAGCAGCAGCGAGCCCTTACAGCTGTGCTGCGTAGGGAGCCCGGCAGGCCCAGCTCCTCCCAGGCCCTGACAAGTCTCCAGAGAAGATGAGCCTGACCAGACAGCAGCCAGCGGCAGGCCCCGGCCTCTCCTGCGCCGCTGCCCGGCCTCAGGCATTTGGAGAGAGGAGAGGGACAGGGAACAGTGCTCCTGCCCAACCGCCCGAGGGCCCCGGGCCCAGGCAGTGCCCCCCACACCGGCAGAGCACCAGGTGCCAGGCAGCGGCCCAGCCCCGCGGCTCCTGCCCGAGGCTGCCGCGGTCGGCCCGTC